CCAGCTCCCAGCACAAGGCCCCCTGCACACCGGCATTCTGCCCCTTCTTTTCAGGACACCCCCCGCCCACGGAAGCCCACTTGCTGTGTGCTCCCCAGCCCCTCACCACCTCTCAGGGCCTGTCTTCCCTAGTAGACCTGCCTGCTCAGGTATTCCAGGCTCCCAAGTAACTCCTAGAATTGAGCCTGAGATGTTGAGTCAGAGCTGGCTGCTGCCCTAGAAACATGCCCCGCACACAAGGCTGGTCACAGGACATGAGCAGCAGATGCCCAGGGACTCAGCCACTGTGACGAGAAAAGCAGAGCGGACTCTAGTCTTTGGAAGGAAGAGGCTGGGCGGAGGCGGGTTGGTGGAAGGCAGCATGGCCTATGGAACTGTCCAGGAAGCTGAGCCAGGAGACAGATCAGGCTATCCTGTCTCTTCTGTAAAATGGGTATGACATCCCACGGGTGGGCACGGCCTGTCTCAGAACGCGTTCGTGCTCTCCTCTCACAGGACTTCCCGTGAGATATGATCCTAGACCACCAATCAAGCCTCTTGCTGGCTCTCAGCTCACAGCCTGGCCGGGCAGATATGGGCAGTATCTATCCCTTGCCAGGTGGCAGACTGTGTTACCTTGGGAAATAACTTAGCCTCTCTGGGCCACAGAGTTTTGGTCAGTTCTGTTCTGAAGATGGAATATGGAATAGACAACACTGAGCCAGAATATAAGAAACTCTGCATCTCAATAAACAGAAACTACCTCTACCTCTTCCACCCACTCCCAGCACCCAGGGTTTTGTTTCTCAGGGTGGGGCAGGGTGGGGCAGGGTAAAAAAGAAGAAGCCAGAGCTCCAGGATTATGGGAAATGAAAGTAAGTTTGGCCTGGGCTGGCCCCTCTGGGAGGTGAGCAAGGCTCCTCCAGGAGGTCCAGTCGGGTGGCTGGTATTGTGTGTCTTGGCTGGTTAATGCTAATCAATAATGCTCAGCCTTCAGTTGGATGCATTTCTCCAGCCCCAGGTCCAATGGCACTCGAGACAGAGTGGCAAATAACAGGGATGGGGACCAGTGAGCAGTGAGGCTGCAGTCGCCAGAGGAACCCGGACAGGACGGAAGTCCAGCCTGGAGGCTGTAGCTGTGCATGGGGACCGCAAGGGCTCAGACCAGAACTCCTCCCTGTGCCCCTGCCCCAGGCGCTCTGCACCACTGGCAGGCATGGGACAACAAGGCCAGCGGCATGTGTGACCGCCCTGCCTACCTCACCAATGGCAGAAGCTGCTGGAATTAGCTGACCTCGAGTACTGAGTGCCTACTGAGCCTCAGTTTCCTCATTTGTGAAAGAGCCATAAAGGATCCTGTCCTAACTCCTAGGGTTACCATAGGGATCTCCAGAGGAAATCAGGGTAATGCAGGAGGAGAGGGTCGGCCAGGCACTCCCCCAGCCATCTCTTTTAATACCCAAACAATAATCCTGAAAGGCAGGCGCTATTATTGCCCCATTTTATAACGAAGTGTGCTTCAGAAAGGCCAAGTCACCTGCCTGAGGTCATACAGCTGGTAAGAGGCAGCGCCAGGCAGGAACCTAGATCTTGTGACTCCACACCTGGGCTTTTTACCTGTCTGCCTATGGTTTCCACATGGCAGCCAGAGCTTTGGTTACAGGTCTTCACAGAAGTCAGAGACTGTTGTCATTCTTATCTCTTACAAACCCAAGGCCATGAGAGGTTTTCCTTTGCACTCTACCTCTCTTTTTCCTGATGTGGAGAAAAGCAAACTACACAGTCTGCTAATTTCTGCAGTCTCAGACAATCAGAATTCCAACCGTCTAGGAGAGCCAACCTAAGAAAGCAAGAAATTAATCTTTTCAAAGTTAACATCTTCAAGGCGTCGCGGCAGTATTTGGGTTGGAAGTAACCTCGCTATCGCAACACAGATGAAACTCCAAATTTAATAAGGCTAAGATAACTCGGACAACTCAAAAAACATAACAGGATATTGCAAAGAGATTAGGGGGCTTCCTCTGGATGGCGCGGACAGCCAGGGGGAGGTGGGGGGGGGGTGAATGGCGTGGTCTACCCTGGCGGCTGGCAAGCTGGGTCCTGGTCCCAGGCCTGGCCTGGAGACTAAGAGGCCTGGGCAGAGGGGAGCGGGGCTCCTCCAGACACCTCAAGGCCGGCCTGGTGCGGGAGCAGAGGCTCCACACTCAGGTTAAATGTAAACCAGCTGCAAGGACGGGAGTGTTGCAGTTGAATGGGGTGGGGTCGGCTTACCTCCTGAAAGAACCGTGGAAACGGCTGCTGGAAAGATAATAAAAGGATTAACTGCTATTTTAGTGGGCCATTTACTCTTCAATCAAAGTGTCTCATCTATTTCCTGTTCTCCAGAGGCTCTGGGTCCAAAATTCCTTTGTCTATTACAGCACATGGTAGCAGAGGCCTGTCATGAGAAATTAATAATTTTACAGGGAAGGGTGATTTTATTTATGTGGGTGCGGGCTGGAGACCGCCCCTTCCCAGGGGTTGCCTGCTGCGCCAGCATCTCAGGAAGGGGGAGCAGTCCTGCAGTGCGCAGGGAGCAGCTCGGAGGAGACCTCTGCTACCATCTCCAGATGGCAGGACCCAGCGGGGCGGGACCTACAACCCCGGAGAATAATCAGTTAGACAAGAGAAAAGTCTACACAAAAAAGGGCATCACCATTTAGAAAGATGTGGGTTCAGATTCCACACACTGACGGTGTAACCCTGGGCTGGCTGTGTTTATCTACTGTCGTTACTATTATTACTAGCATGATCACTAGCATTTATAATTATTGCTGTTCCTGTCCATCTCTAGCTGTGTGACCTGAATCAAATTATGTTATTTCTCTGAGCCTCAGTCTCATTTGTAAAATGGGGATTCTCATAGTATCTACCCCATAGGGCAGTTGTGAGGACCACAGAGTTATTGATTAGAATAGTCCCTGCATGTGGTCAGCACTCAGATGCTGCTTGCCAGTATTATCACCCTAATCCCAAACCTCCAAAGAGGCAAGATGAAGTGTTCTTATAGTAGCAACTGGAAGGCCAGCTGGAACCCATTGAACCTTTGTTTCTTTGCCTATAAAAACTGTTAGTTTTACAGGATTCTTGTGAAGATTAAAGGGGTGAATATAGACACAGCTTTAACATCACCTCCTCCTTGAGGCCCTTCTGGGCCTCCTCTCCTTGAACCTATGCAAACTCCATCCAAGAACTCATCACAAATCTCCACCCCCATCTCCCACCCATCCTGACCGAGTCCCCCAGGGCAAGGACCATCGCAGGTCCGGGTGTGGGTACCTAGAGTCAGGCACGAGCCAGGTGTAAGCTAATGTGTTCCATGGAGACCGCTGAACCAAACAAGATTCTAGTAGAAGAAGGAACTCTAGAGAGAGGTGCTGAGACTATACCAAGTAATCTGGGTTTCTTGGACCCACTTGCTGGTCTTCCGTTCACCAAACTGAAAGACGGGCAGTGAGAACCCCAATCATCTCCAAGGGCCTAACGTGCAACACGGAAGCTCCTGGATACTGTGGTCCCCCACCGGGAGCCCTAGTGTGAGAAGGGCACCAACCGTACCATGCCAGGGATCATCAGGCTACACAGCCACCACGCAGGCCTTCACAGACACCAGCGAGATCACCCACAGAGAAGAAGACGTGAAGGAGAACTGTAGCTCAGCGGCGGGCAGCTCCAGGCCCTCTGAGGGAGACAGGGCCCCTGTGTCCTCCAGCAGCCCTGGCCTGTGATGTCCATTGGTCATCTCCTTCCAAGCAGGGACATGCCTTTCAGCAAGCCATGTGTCACAATACCCCAAGCGAACTGGGGCATCCCCAGAGAGTGGCCTGGGCACCAGCTCTCCCTGTAGCATACTCTTGGGCCGAAGGCATGTTGTAAACACAAATTCTCAGACTGCTGCCTTCAGCTTCTCCCCACAACATCAGCACACCAAGCACGCACTGTTCACTGCCCCTCACTTTTCAGTAAAGTAAACTCCCTCTCATCCTCAAGACCCAGCCTCCTTGAAGCTGAATAGGCCGGGCCAGTGGACACCCAGCTCACAGCAGCACAAGCAGATGGGGACCCAAGGGCGAATACCTGGTCCCAGCAGGGTAGTTCACGCTGCCAGTTGCCAATGCTTCCTGCTCCTTCCCTGGCCCCTCTAAATGCTGCCCTGGGCTTAGAGCAGGAACAGATGCATGGCCCTGTTCCCGCTGGACCCCTTCCAGGCTGAGCATTCCATAAGGTAGGACAGTGACAGCATACCAGCGTGAAGGAACTCAACCTTGGCTATGACACTCGCTTCTAGACCAGATACTGCTTTCTTCCTCTGCCTCATCAATGTCCCAATGGGTGGGCATTAGTGGCTTCATCAACCCTTCTACTGAAGGCAGGCGCTTCTCCTGGTGGGCTGGCTGGGCTTTGGTGCTAGGCACAGTGGCTCAGATGAAGGTATCAGGGACTAAGCCTACATTCCTCTGATTTGGATTTCTGCCACGGTGAGTACAAACACAGAAATGTCAGGATGGTCAGAGGCTCAGGTGCCTAGAACACTGCAGGTACTATCCAGGGCTTATTTTAACCCTTAGTCATACCCCAAAGCCTGCCCCGGGGACCCACAACTCTCAGGCTGGATGCCTGTGGGGACCCAGTGCCCCTTACAGGAAACCAGCCAAGCCTGTGGGCTTCTCCAGGAGGCCCAGGAAGGTGAAGATCCAGCAGGACGACCTGTCCCCCACAACTCACTGGGCCATGGTATGCCACTGGGGTGAGAGACAGGGCACACAGCAAGTATGAGGGGCCCTCTGCCAACGTTCCCTGCGACAGGGGCAGTGACCACTGTGACCAGTGGCCACATCCATAGCATTCTTCCTTTCTTCCTGAACCACAGGGTATCTCGGCCAGCCCCCAGGTAAAGAGGCCCAGGTATGCCTCTCAGCCAGTGACATGGGTGCTGCTGCTGGGTTTGGTCTGCATGTGGCCTGGTGGCCAAGGGAACTCACCATGCACTTGTTGGGCTTCTCACCCGAGTGCACCCTCATGTGGATGAGCAGCTTGTAGCGGGCGTTGAAGGGCTTGTAGCGGCGCACACAGCCCGCCCAGAAGCAGGTGAAGTCCTCGCCCTTACGCTGGTCTATGTGGCTCTTCTCGATGTGCCGCACCAGCTCCTCCTGCTGCTCATAGGCTGCACAGCAGTCCACCCAACGGCATGCCTGTCGCCCAGCGCCCCTCCCTGCCAGGCCCAGCCCCAGGCCTCCAAGGCCAGGGCCTGATGGCAAAGGAGGCAAAGGGTAGGGAGGCGGCAGCCCTGGCTGGTGAGGCCCGAAGAGCTCTGAGAACTCGTCCGCAGGCTCCTGCTTCAGGAAGCCCGCCTTCCGGCAGGATTCAAGTTGCAAACTGCCCTCGTGGCTCTCAGTGGTTGCAGGGCCAGGCTGGGCCCGCTTGTGGGGAACCCCCAGGTCTCCTGGTAGAGGGGGACTTCGCAGCCCATTTATGCAGGTGACCAGAGCAGTCTGGGAGGAGCGGACGATGGAGGTGATGTCAGAGGAGGTACGGGGTGAGGAGGAGGCTGAGGAGGTGGGGGGCAGGCCCAGGAGGCAGCAGTGCTTCAGACTGCCCTCGGGCAGGTGGGCCTCAGGTTGGGGGCCCAGGCCGGAGCTGGGTTCGCTGCTTAGAAGGTAGCAGGAAGGTGCTGGGTTGGCGAGGCCTCGGCCTGGGAGGTCCAGGTCTGTGCGCGGGCCGGTGGCCGGTGGGGCCCGGCAGTGGGTAGACAGGGGTGCCCGAGCTTCCATCATGGCCCGATAGACAGGCAGGGACTCCTGCTTGATGTGCTGTGCGGCTGAGAGGCTGCCATTCATATACGTGGCTTGAGGTCTGGGTGACCTGGAAGACAGTGGCCAGAGAGAAAATGAGAGGGTGGGAGCATCACAGTGAGGAGGCCCAGGCAGGGGATGGCGAGGAACCTGAAGGCTGAGGGCCGGGGAAGCCCAGAGCAGGAGAGGGAGGTTGGGGTATGGAAGAGAAGCTTGGGGGGAAGGGACAGAAGGGAGGGAGAGAAAAGGAAGAGGGCAGATACTGTTGTCAGGACAAGGAAGAATGTGGAGGAAAAGGGGGAGCGAGAGAAAGAGGAGTGGGCTGGGGAGAGGCTCAAAAGAGGCCGAGGTCCGAAGAGTAGAATGCCAAAAAAGGCACCATTTCATCCGTTACCAAGTCCCGCCAACCCCAACCCTACCCCTCCTGCCCTGCCTCTGAGGCCTCCCTAGGGTCCACCCTGACCCCCTCCCTCTGATCTGTGGTGAGTTTTGGAGGGAGAAGGCTAAAGCTGACCTTTTGTGGGATACCTAGGTTCGGTTTTTAAAATTCTGCTTACATGTCCCTTAAATCTGTTAATTTTTGTAATCTTTCATAATTTCTAAGAATTGCCAGTGGGGTTTTGCCCCAAGCAGTCTGTCTTCTGCACTGTGAACGTCCACGGGCGGGGTTTCTGAAACACACCCCTGGTGAGAGCACACCCGAGGGGTGACTGAGGGAAAGCTTCGTGGGTGGGATGTCCCAGAATTTTAAGCGCAGACAGTGACTACACGAAACAAAACTTTAAGGAGAAGCCATGGGCAGGCAGGCCAGGCAGAACAGAGGAGGCAGGGGCCTTGGGTTCAAGGCCAGGCTCAGCCACTCCCAAATACGCACACCTGAACAAGGTGGCCTGGGCCTTGCTCCTCATCCCAACAGCAGAACGGCTCCATTTCTGTGGGTGAGGATGGTGTGACGGGCAGGGCTGGGCTGGCTGAGGGGGTGACTTCATCACGCACATGGTACATGCATTTCTGGAGGGGGAACCTCCCCAATTTGAAAAAGTGCATGCGGGCAGAGATACCAGGGCCTGTTGGTCCAGAGGACTCTGAGAAGGGGAGAGACCGGCAAGACAACACTGGGTCTCGGGTCCGAGAAGCCCCCACTGGCTGGCTAGGCAGAACCGGAAGCCTGCTATGTGCCTGTCCTCAGTCAGACCCTGCCCTCTCTGAGCCTCGGTTACTTTGCCCGTGAAATGAGGACCAACCCTCTCGACCTCAGAGGGTGGCTGCCGGGATCAAGTGAGAGGGCAGATGTCATGACAACCACCTGGAAAGGATGGCAGAGCAAATGGTGCCATCGTTACTGCTATTATTACTGTCATTACCACTGCTGTCCTGGGGCTTCCTGCAGCCAGGCCTGTGGAGCTGTGGGATCATTGTCTGCCCCTCTGTTCCCAGTGTCACTTCCTGTAGCTCCAGCCCATCCCCCTCTGGCTCTGCAGCTGTGGCATCCCCAGCTTCAGTCACAGGTGGAGGGGAGAGGGAGGGACAGAGGAGAAGGAAAGTCAGAGCCCAGACCCCAGAGCGCTCAGAGAATGTCGCCTCCAACCCCATCACTACAGGGTCAGGAAAAGGGCCAAGAGAGCACAGGACTCACCCATAGGCACAAACAGCAAGCAGAGACAGGATTGGGGCCAGAACCCAGGCCCCCCTTTTCCCCTCCGTATGCCTTTCTCCTGCATAGGACTGACCTGAAGCACTCCCTGGGTAAAGGCCTGGGGGAGGGACTCTTTTGTTTATTTCTCAACAGCTCTTGAACAATTCTCAGGCCAGCTCTCCAGAGACCTCTCTTCCCACCTGGGAACTCTGCTGACCTGAGAATGGTAAGCGGAACCAAAAAGAGCTTGCATCCTGAGGTAGACAGCAAACCTTAACCCCCTCCCCAGGGGTGGGGATACTGGGTCCACCATGGCCAACAGAAAGCTCCAAGTAGCTTAAAGATCTGATATCAAGGTTGTGACTGTAGAGTTTAACTAAATAAATGAAAGCACCACTAGCTGCCCCTTGCATGGCTGCGACCCGGGGCCGCGCAGAGGTGGGCACAGGCAGGGACGAGCAGCCAGGCACGTCTTTGTTTCAAGCACCCCTTTAAAAAGCAGTGCCGAGTTAAAGCAACCCCCACTAGGAGAAGAGAACAGCTGTAGCTTTCTGTGACCGAGTCACCCAAATAATCAAGTAATCAACAGCAAAGCCTCGAATGACATCAGCATGGGAAATGGGTAGCTCCGGTCCTGGTGTCCCACAGCTCCAAATGCCAGCTGAGGCATGCCCCGCTTGCCCTTGCTGTCCCCGTGCAACCAGGCAGCAGTTTGGGCTCCGCCCTGCCACTGAGCCCTGTGCACCCCAGGCAACTCCCATCCCACCTCTACAAACTGTGAGCGTGAGTCCCTAAACAGAGCAAACAACTGCAGAGCAGCCCCATGCGTCAGGTGCTTTCCCGAGGGCTGCCTCGTGCAGTCTGAGCATGGCGGAATAATGCATGGTATCTGCTGAGCGCATGACCAGATTCTTCAAGGGAGAGACCACCATCTGTTTTACACTTAGCAAAACTGAAGCAACTTGCCCAAGCTGTCAAAGGCAGTCGGTGATAGAGTAGGAATTTGAACCTGGATCTGTTTAAATAAGGGCCTGGGATTTTCCCACAACACTCTACTGCCCGGGGCCCCTGCTTCCTCATCTGTAAAATGATCTAATTTAATAACCATTATATTTCCCAGCAGCCTCAATGTTCTGAGTCCCAAGGACTTGATGTGCTCTATCGCGCTGGACCGTGGAAGGGAGCTGGCACAACTGGGAAAATCAGTGTTTCCCCAGCAGAGGCTCTAGGGGAGAAGAGGGTGATGTCAGACCTCATGAGGTCAATACACCCGACGGTTCAAGGGCTGAAGCCTGGGCTGAAGGTCAATGTGCTCCCTCCATAGGCTTTTCACACCACACTGGGTAATGCTGGGGACTCGAGACAATGTGGAGCGCAGGCAGGTCCCTGCCCTTAAGAATCTCCCCTTCTAATGGGGAAACTGAGGAGTAGCCCCCTAAGGGGATACTTAAACTCTGCTGAGGGGTGGATGGAGTGGTGGCAAACAGAAGAGAGCACAGGGATCTGGAGGCCAAGATGTGAAGATAGAAAGCCATGTGGCAGAATCAAAGCAAGGCCAGGAGACTGGTGGTGGCAGGCAGGGGCCTGATCACGGGCGCCTCCCAACACCACCAGAGGCCTGCACGCTGTTTGCATCCTCATCTTACAGGAAAGGCAACGAGACCTGCAGAGGGTCAGCATCTCGCCCGGAGAGCCAGTCGTGGAGCCAGGACTCAAGCCGCGATTAACAATACATTCTGCTGACCAGGGTGGTGATGGGCAGTCACTTTAAGCACAGAAATGACAAAATCAGGACATTGTTAAAGTTTCTTAAAACTTCTCACCACTTGCTGGGTGACCTTCAGCCAGTTTTATAGTCACTCTGGCCTCAGTTTCCCCACCCTATGGCATTTGTGGGTTGAATGAGTTAACACATATAAAGTGCTTGGCCCAGGGTGTGGCAAATAAGAAGCAGGATGGTTGCTTATTTAGCAGTAGGACCTGGGCTTCCTGGGACTGTGCGGATGAGATGAGAGAATGTGCAGAGGCAGCGCTCACTCAGAAAGTGGGGGCTATTTCCTTGGTATTAGCAAGCTGGTCTGGACACAAGGACATGGCTGGTGTGGCTGCCACAGGAACCCAGGCAGTGGGTGAAGGTGCCACAGATCAGGAGGGGTCAGCATGAATGGAGAGGAGTATCAGTAAGACAATCCAGTGGGAGGGAGAGGAAAACGAGGGAGTCTAAAAGTGCCAGGTCAAATTCAACCACTCTGGTGGCAGAGGTGGCAGCAACTTAGATTGATGCTGGTGTAGGGTTCTGGGTACAGACTCTCCTGTGTCCTAACCTGTCCAAATGACCTTCGAAAATGACAAGAGATATTTTTGAAGGTCTCTATGAAAACAAAACAAAACACAACACAACACTCACTTAGCTTTCCCTTAGCTTCCACCCTGAGGCAGAAAGAATTTCCCTGGAGAAAATGGATTACTGCTGGGAGCCGCAGTGAATAATCAAGCAGATACATGCACTTGACCGTTGCCAAACGATGCACAGCTTGGAAACTAAAGGAAGTTTGGTCTTGTCATGCACTGAATTGATGTTCTCCTAAAATTCGTATGTTGAAACCTGAACCCTCAATGTGACCATATTTGGAGACCGAGCCTTTAGGCAGGTGATTAAGATTAAATAAGGTCGGTGGGTGGGGCCCTAATCCTAAGGACTGGTGTCCTCGTAAGAGGAAGAGACACCAAGGGCGTGCACACAGTGAAAGGGCCACACAAGGACAAAGTGAGAAGGCAGCGTCTGCAAGCCAAGAGAGGCCTCAGGAGAAACCAAACCTGACATCTTGATCTTGCACTCACAGCTCAGAGAACTGGGAGAGAAGAAATGTCTATGGCCAAAGCCACCCGATCTGCGGTGGTTTGTCACGGCAGCCAAGTAGACGAATACGCTCCTATAAATCAGAGGTCTCTTCAACACCAAAGAAGGCCAGAGGGAACCTCAGTTCTCAGAGAAAAATGGCTCCACGGGAAGGAAAAGCTATCTGATAATACCTCCCACTGTGGTGCTCCCACTGGACAGTAAGCTCCATCAGGGAGATCTCTGCCTCCTTCACCAAGGCACCCCCAGCACCCCACAGTGCCTGGCTCACAGGAGGCACTTGATAAATGGTGGGTGAAGGGATAAATTGTGACAACGGGGCCAGCTGTTCGCATCCCTCACCTGTGAACAGGTCTCAGGCCAGCAGCTCAAGGCACTGGGGTGAGGGCTCTTGGAGCCAAGGGCGTGGGTACAGAGGCCTGTCTGTGGTTGACCTATGCCTGTCAGCAAACCAGAGGGCACAGAGGCATGGGTGAGAAGCTGCGGGAGGCAGATTTCAGCCCAGCATGCAATTTAATGAAACATTCTGCAGAGATGGACATAACTGGAAATGTGTAAGCGCTGAATATGACGGTTATGTGACAGGTTCTGTGGGATGATGGCTTCTTGGGTCAGGAGGTGGCCCCAGGAGATGGCCCCTCTCTGCTCTATGAGTAGCCCAGGGTGTGACAGTGTGAACCCTAAACTGAGTTTTCCTTCCCCCAGCACACTCCAAATCTTCCTCCGTGGAAAGCCATCTCAGCTGCTGCTGCTGCAACATGGAAGCACACCTTAATAACACCACCTTCGTCTCTCATAAGTCCTGTAATGCAGGAGGTGTGGGGTCCACACCAGGCAGCTTGCATTGCACCACTGGGCTCTGGCTAGTCCCTGGCAATTCTGTGCCTCAGTTCCCCTGTGTATCCCACTAGCAAGGCAGACGAGGTGAGGTCTGGAGGCCCTTGGTCCTTGGTTTCCAGGGAGTATCCACAGAGGACAGCTGATGGTGGGCAATGGAGCACATACCTGCTTGGGTGGGGGAAATGGAGCAGCCGGTCACAGGCTGGGGGGTGGCCTCGGGGTAGTGGGGTTCCTGCTGGAAGGAAGAGGCCCTGGCGGCAGGTGGGGCCAAGGCCCTCCACAAGGTCCAAGTCCAGCAGGCTCTTCTCCGAGCCTGGGGTGCAGTGGCCGTAGCTCCCGTTCACTAGGTAGAGAAAGACAGGAAAAGGAGACAAAGTAAGGAGGGGCAGCCTGCGGGGGGGGGGGGGGGCAGGGAGAGGGCGGTCATTGCATACAGCATGAAACAGAGCACCCTTGAGCCAACACTCACTGAACCCCTGCCACACCCAAGGCACATAGATGTCTTGTTTAATTCCCACAATCACCTACAGGGTCCATAATAGTACCAGGCATTAGTCTAGGTGCAGTAAACACTTGGGCACTAGACAGACAAGCTCCTGTCTCTGGGAAGCTCAGAATCTATGATCCTCGCATTTATCACCTATTGCTCATTTGATGAGGTACAGGACCACGGGAGAGAGCTGGTGGTCTGAATCTCAGCTGCCCTGCAGGCTGAGTGGCATTAAATGTCAAGGAGCTGGTTATTGAACAGCACCTGCTGCTGTTCCCACCAAAGAACAAGAACCTGTTCTTATTCAATCTTTGTTGCTTTCCAAATTGCATCATACCACAGAATACAGTAAGTGGTTATTCACCCTCAGTGTCCTCCATGGTTCCTTGACGGCCCAACTATTTGCCTGGCCCAGCTACTGGGTTTCTATGAAGACTACATGAGGCAGCAGGTTGAGAGCCCTTGAAAGGCTACATCGCATGTAATAAAAACATTGGGCGTGGTTGTTGGATTACTTCCACTCCCTGGGCCTCAGTTTTCTCATCTATAATGTGAGAAGGGTTAACCTGGAAACAACTTCTTCCTTGGGCTTTCTGCCCTGTCGTCTGGCCAGCTTATGCAAGGAGGAAAGGACATACAGGGGCTCGGGGGCCCTATGGACCTTGGTGTGACCCTCTACTGCCCCCAGCCAAGCCTGTGACTCGAACAAGTCCCTCCCCAGGGCTGGCCCTCCCCGAGGCTGAACCTCAGCTCCCTGGTGTAGGATGGAGAGAGCCATGCCAGTTCTCTCAAGGTGCTGTGAGGATTTGAGCACTAAGGTGCAGAGCCCCTGGCACCTAGTAGGTGCACCAGGAGCAGAAATTGTCCAAAGCATAAAGCACTCTAGAGAGGTAATAAGACGTTATCAACAGGCCCAAGTACTGAGAGAAGAACTGGCACCGGAACAGCCCCCATGTAAGGACAAGGAGACGACAGAGCCATTTGCTGGGCAGTGCGTGCAGCCCTGGGCGCAGCTCCCCTGTCGCAGCAAAGCCTCCTCCCCACCGGCCTCTGCAGGAGGTATGCATATTATCATGCCCAGGGTACAGAAGAGAAAACAGGGGCCTGGGGAGTTAAATTATTAACCCAAGGTGACACAGCTAGGAAGAGCCTGGGCTGGGTCTCTGGCTCAGGTCTGCCAGACCCAAACCCCACATCGTAATCACTGTGTAATAAAAAGTGGTCTCTTAGCCAAAATCCAGCCTCACCCTAATTCTGGCCCACCCCCAAGGCTAGACACCCTGAGCTACCTCGCCATGTGCCCGGCTCTAGACAGGCACCAGGCAGGCACCTGTTGAGCACTTTACGGTTTGCAGATGAGGTGCAACGCTCTCAAGGTCCCAGGGCAGGTGAGAGGCTCAGACAAGTTCCGAGGTTCCCAGGCACCGGCGAGCCTGCTCGAGCGGCCTCTGATGGACATCTGCTCAGAAGCTGCCCTCCGTGTCACCTTCCCAGGCAGAGCCCGGCCCGTGTCCTGCTGCGAGGAACACTCGCCCCCTCTGGCTTTGGCTGCTGCTCAGCCAGCCCTTCACAAGCTTATTTTTTAATAACTTGGTTGTTTTTTAATTAAAAAGAAATCCCTGGTAACAAACGCGAATGGCCTGAGCTAATGAGAGCAGGCTGCTGCTCGTTTAACCCTGTCTCTGCTGGCGGTCTTTGCCTTTTCCTCATTGTTTCTGCGTGTGATGATATTATTCCATGGAGGCAAACTGTGGGACTGGGCCTCAGAAAACTATAGACAATTTTATGACCATCAATAGCATTTGGAGCAGAGAGAACTTAATCCTCACACGGGGCTGTCTGGCAGGGCCTTTCCCCCAGAGTTTTGGGGCCGGGGAGGTGGTTCTGAGCTTCCTTTAAGAATTTGCCAGGCCCTGGAGGACCCTGGAGTAACTTACCCCCCTTCACTGAGGGGGACGTGTGCAGCAATGGATGGTGGGCCCTGGGGAAGGTGCCGGGAAGTCCAGCGTTTCTGAAGCCCTTGCTCACCCAGCACTTCCCAGGCGCCAGGCACATTCAGTATGTTCCAGTGTCCACCCCGTGACTCATTCTCATTACGGCCATTTTCCAGATTGGGAAAGCTGAAGTTTGGAGAGATTAGGGGCCTTTGACTAGGCCCAGGGGTCGAGGTTCGACTCGTGGCCCCATCCAGATCTCTCAGACTTCAAAGCCCAAGTTCAGTCCTGCTGCGTCCCGACCAACTGATGAACCACTGGGAGCCCCCGAACAAGCACCCCACCTGTGACTCCAATGAAGATCATGTTGGGGAGTCTTCAGGGAAGCCAAAGTACCACCATGACAATGGCTCCTAAACTCTGCCAGGCGGTAGGGTCACCCCATCTACGGACAAGCACACAAGGGCTCAGGGAGGGGTTCGCCCAAAGTCACACAGGCAGTCAGGAGCCAAGCGGAGATGTGGGAAGTGACAGCCATTACTCTGACAATTCAGGCCAGAGGGCTCCTTCTCTGCTGGATACTTTAAGAGGTTTTCCTATAATAAATAGGCAAGTCAGCTCTGGGAGGGAGTAAGGAAGGAGCCCCTTGGGCCACAGTCTGGCACTGCTTAGGGCCCCAAACCCATCCAGACATTGTCTGTGTAACCTCCACAGACCCTGGATGAAAGTGCGGGCCTCCCCACCTGGTGGGGACACACGCACCAGAGCTGGCAAGTAGCTGCCCAAGATCATGTGACCACTGCTAGCATAGCCAGGGCCTGAACCCAGGTACCCCAAGGTCTATGCCAGACCCTACCCTAGGCCACCAGTGCTCTCAAAAGCTGAAAATTAAACCAAAGAGTGTAATACGTTTCCCAGAGATGCTGCCACCACTGGGAAGAGTGGGTACCATCATTGCTGCCCACCCCAAGCCCAAGTCTGCCAGGAGACCTCCCACTGCTCCCTGCTGGCTGGTGTGTGGTCTCTCTGTCACCGAGTGCAGCGCAGGGCCCACTGCTGCTCACTCTCCGTCTCAGGGAGCAAGGATGGAATCTTTCTCAGGAGAGGCGGGGGAGCGAGAGGGCACAGCAGCCCTGCTGGCCCGAGGTGATGGGGGTACCCTGGGAAAGGGCTGCACCCAGCGGCCATGTCTCCCACTGTGCCACAGGGGACCCGACCCTGGAGCTGGCTTTCCCCATGTAAGTAAAGCATGGGGAAGGACTAGAAGGTGAGGGGGGTCCTGTGTTCACTTTCACAAGTTGGTAAGAAAACCTAGCACGTCAGGGCTGGGATGAACTGACCATCTATTTCATTAATAGACGAAGAAGCTGAGGCTCAGAGAGGGAAAGGACCTCTTGGTCACATAGCAAATCCATAGCAGAGCCTGGACTGCCACCTCTGGGGCTGGGTAAGAGTCTGGTTTACTTTCCTCTTCAAGTCTCAATTTTCTTTTCTGTAAAATGGTACAAACACTTACTTCACAAGGTTCTGGTGATAGTTAACAGATTATGAACACAATGCATTTTGCACAGTGACTGGCTTACAGTAAGCCCTTGAAAAGTAATGGTGATGATAATGATCATTATCTCTTCCATTTATCCCTGAGCTTGGGATGGGGCCAGGATGCAGGGCCCTGTACAAGAAGCATTCTATCCCCAGGAAGGTCACGTCTAAATGACCTTAAGGCCAGATTCAAAAGGACAAGCCCCCAAGGCTCAGGGGTCACCAGATGCAGGACCTGGCAGTCTGAATGAGGTCACAGCCAGCAAATCTGAAGCAAATGTCTCCAGTTATACACCACAGAGCTTTGCAAATTACCATAATGACTTGGCTATAAAGCGGTACCACATATAAGGTGACTCCCCACAGGAATTTTAATTCAGGCCGAAACCTGCCAAGTCTGTATGCAGGGGACAATGATGCATTCAGCATCTCAGGCCTAGAGGCTGCCTCCTTGCAGTCCCAGGAGCAGCCAGCGGCCAGGTGGAAGACAGCCTGTAGGACTGCTCCTCGTTCTTACACAAGCAGAGCAGACTTGCAGTGCCCACCAAGCACCAGACCGGTGACCAGGCACTGCCCTTTACCATCTATAACACATTGTGCAGCCATTGCCTATGAGCTTCATCACAACTCCCAGGACTAGGCCTGGGCAGACTTGGGTGGGGAGAGTGAGGGGCAGAAGGGCGAACAATTTGTCCACATCACTCAGTAAACATAGGGCTCAGACTCACACTGATCTCCTGACTCAGCCATCTTGTCGGCAAACTTTTTTTTTTTCTGTAAAGAGCAAGATAGTAAATATGGCTTTAGGGGCCATACAGTTCACTGTCAGGACTATTCAACTTGGACCATAGAAAACAGCTATAAGTAATAGGTAAACAAATGAATGGGGCCGTGTTCCAATAAAACTTTATTTAGAAAAACAGCTCACTGGCTCTTGGACTATAATTTGCCAATCCCTGAGCTAGGGCTGCAGTTAGAGACAAGGCTTTGCAGTTAGATTTTTTTTGCATCTATACAATGGGGAGAATTTTATGGGGTAGAGTTCATGGTGTGAAAACTACTGTCAAATACTGAATACAGGGCTGGCCCCTGGTGGATATTCAATAAACAGAAGTGCCTGAACCTGTCTCGGGGCCCCCCACAGCCTCAGCTCACTCTTCCACCTGGGCGTTACCTCACACTCCCACAATGCTTTGCTGATGTGCTGCACACATCCTCACCCATCCAGTCAGGGTGGCCTGACACCTTCCAAACCCTCTGAGCCCGCAGAGCTCAACAGCGCATCCCATTTTGGAACGTTCCCTGGTCTCTCCTGCCCTCCCCGAGCTCCCCCACCTCAGCTCACAGCAGTCCCAGTGAACAGCTGCCGTGTGAATA